AAATTTTTAGCTATTGATTAATCAGGGTGTCAGACAGTATAAATCATTAAGTAACTGTATTCAATTCTGGACTTTTTTTGGCCTCTGCTTTACCATTGTAAAGGGATAATTGACTATGCAAATTAACACCGTCCATGTTAGTCATCTGCTTTATTTTGGGTTTATTTCAGGCACAAAGTTTTTGAAAGGCGGGGAGACGATTTGTATACAAATGTGACAATATCATTGCAACAGGCCCTGACTGGCTTTGAAATGGATATAAAACATCTAGATGGTCATCTGGTAAGTCTCGGGTTCTCGAGGAATAAGTGTTGATAATTTTGTTTGATGTCTAAATGTGATATAAATATGTACACTAGTTGCATGCTGCATTTAATTCTTGAGTGTCATTAATATGTATATATCGACATGACGGAAAAATTCAAAGCGTTGCCTAGTTTGCCTTTCTAAGATTTGTATGTTACCACAATCATCACTTGATACTCACCTGAAATTCACTTTCGCTGCTTTAGATTTAAAACGTGATTCTGCTTTGCTTGTATCAGGTCCATGTAACCCGAGATAAAGTGACGTGGCCTGGTGCAAGAATACGAAAGAAAGATGAAGGGATGATCCACTATGATAACAATAACCTCAGGGGCACGTTATACATAACTTTTGATGTAGAGTTTCCCAAAGGTGAACTCAGCAATGCAGATAAAGAAAGTAAGTGAACCTACAAATACATGTAATGTTTAAGTTTTATCTGTAATTTTATATTTTTATTCATATTCCGTGTTGGTACGAGGACACGAAATTATAAGACTATAGATATCTATGTAAATACCTTTAAAGTTATTATCTTTTAATAACTAAGGGGTGAAATATATAGTCTGTATACTATACTATGTTACCTCTTATAAAACAGTTTTACATATATTGGCTTGAGCATGAATTCAAATTCAGTTAAAATTCAGATCATTAGAATGTCAACAACATCAATTCACTGGCAAATTCACAGGAAAATGGTCCTATGAATGTGCAACTGAAGCAAAACTGTTTGTCTAGTGAACTTACCCCTGGTCTGTGATGCTCTTCTGTTTTTGCTGCATGTGACCTTTAGGTCTTGGTGACATGGCTAGTGATGCCCGAATGGGCTGTGTGAAGCATTCTGCAGTTTTCCAAATCACATGAGAAGAGTTCTGTCAATTAGTCTGAAGAATTTTTTTTAATTTGTGCATTTAGGTATAACATGTATAATGTGTTAACTATAACCATGGATATATCTTGTTTTCAGCATTGAAAGACATGTTGAAACAGATGTCAGAGCCTAAAAGCTACAATGGACTACGAGGGTACTAGTGCCTAGGAAGTGTTACAAGTAAATGTACCCGTTAACTCTGGATATTTTCATAGGCGTGTTTTGTACAGTTTGATAGTAGTAATACAATGGCAACTGGATTCCTGCTGGTCATATGTGCACAAACTCGGCATCAACACACGGTGAACTATTGAATTCAGAGGTCTACACTGGTGTGGTGGCATGACATTCAGTGTGGAATTAGTCTTCTTTCTAATATAATTACATCTAATGTACTTATCAATGATTCTTCATAATAAATTGTGTACAATAAAGGTTTCTGCAGATGTACACAGCTGATTGATGTGGATGGCCCCACACATGTGGAACCATGGCATGAATACATGTGGTATCACCAAAGGGATTCCTGTGATATCTGTAGGAAAATGTGTGAGGATTTACCATCACAGTCTCTTATGTTAATATCACCATTGAACAGGTCATCTTAAACTAGAAGTCGCAATTTTGCCTGCCATTACCGTGTGATCCTTTGATTTTGTTGCAATGTTTTCTTTGTATTTAAAATGCATTTACATATCAATCTAATGCAATCACTATTTGTTAAACATTCGCCATGCACCTATAGAATTTTGGGTATATCAGTTTGGGTTTACTTCAGTGTTTGCTGGTCTGTTTTAACACTGTCGTGGTTTTGACATTGTGAAGCATTGTTGTCAGTACTACTAGTTATGTGAAATGCTGTTGTACAGCCTCGCCTCAATGATGAAGTCCATGGGAATATTTTAGGCAATTGTTTTGTAAATAATGCATTAGTTTTTTTTTCAAACTATTCGAAAATATGTATCCCGTGTTACTGATTGAATGATGAACACATGTCATATGAACTATAATGAAAACAAAGTTCACTCAGCATTTCCTGATACGTGCTTGTTTTGTACTTGCTGTATTAAGACTAAACAGTAGTAAAAATATATCACTATTAGCACGAACCTATTTTACGTATGTTGAATCAACAGTTCAATATATGCACAAGGTTCGTGCTTATATTCAATTCATATATTTTAGGTTATAGTAATCTATCTGGAAATACACATGTAGAACTGCAGCAATTTTCAATCATTCCTATATCAAAACAAAGAATGTGAGTCTATGACTTTCACAACAACTAAAGCGGGCAGCACACTTCACCATTTTCGTTGCTCGAACAGGCAATTTTCGTGGTCACCACAAAAATGGCCAAGTGTGCGGGGGCCGGCAACGACCACTCACCACGGAAATTTAGTGGTCACCACGAGTTGCCGAGAATCAAACCGGTTTGATTTCTCACCACGAAAATTGCTCGTGGTGGCAACTTGTGGTGAAGTGTGCTGTGACGGGGCAACGGCCACAAAAATTGCCGACCACGAAAATTGCCTGTACGAGCAACGAAAATGGTGAAGTGTGCTGCTAGCTTAATAGTCAGTTCCTAGTAAATTCATCGTCGGGGCTGCTTGAATGTCCTTTACTCATTTCTTGCGTACAGAATTGGTTGTATAGCCAATTGTTTTACATTTGTCATTGTTTTACAGCTGCTAGAATGCTCGGATACGCGTCCAAGGATTTCCCCTAGTGGTCCCCGTATATTTGTTAATCAGTATCAACTGTGAAATGAAATGAGGCTGTTAGCTAGTCAAGAAAGGTGGATTTTTGTAATGTTCAGTTCGTTTGTAAACTGTCCTGCAGCAAGAGCAATCACTGATATCGAAACAATATGTGCTAACATTAACCACAATATGTAAACGTTCATTGAAGTCATTTAGATGACGATTGTGCTTGGTAAGTGGTAATACTCTGCTGGTCTAGTAAATCGTGTGCAAGCTAATTAGGTTTGAAAAATGATATAAAAAAAATCCCAGAAAGGTCAGACCCTAATGTCAGACAGCTTTCTACCCAGCTATGCACGGACTGCATTTTCTTCACAAGTTCATGTTGGATGCCAGATTGCTGTGCAATCTCAAGCCCATGTAAACTTGGGATGTTAGTTTTTGATGAAGGGCTCACTGATAAAGTACCAGGTTAATCAACTCGACTTGCTGTTTGATAAGCTGTGGTGTCTTACTGAAAATAACATGAATTAATCATGTCTCCGGTACCCTGGATGGTATGGTTTATGCATGCGTGTTGAGTGGCTCCTGTGATAATCGCTGTAGTATTCGGATGTGCATGTTTAACAAGTTGGGCTTTCATTACACAACCGATTTACGCCAAGGTTAAACTGTGGGTGACACCTCATGGGATTTCGGTAGGACAAAGGTGGTGGAAATTGTATGTACATACGTGGGTGGAGTGATTGAGAAAAATGTCTTTTTAATCATAGGAGTCCATGTTTTAGATTCCATTTCATTTCAGTAATGATTTATCATCTGCATTGTTAGACCTACACTATTCAATTAATGGTATGTGTGTGCATGCACCCTACATATTTAACTTGTGTGAACCAGTTTTTAAGATTCACATTGAAATTGTAAGGATCGGGTCTATTTGATATTATAGCATAATATTTTACAATAACTAGCAGATGACTCTAAAACATCTCTCAGTGTAATGGTTGTCATTTAAGAATAAAATATTTGCCAGCAGTTACAGCTCTATGTAAACACAAATCACATTTATTATATACACTGACATAAATGTACATACATGATTGCAGGAATCGCATAGTGAAGACCCTAGACCCAACACAAATCTAAAAACGACTGCAAAATGAATCATAAAAAGAGATCATGAACACTGCCATTTATAAATGATGTCCATCATTTAAGAGCAAGAATACAGATCAGAGAACTACGCTGCAGCACCATCACTTCTTGAACTTTTATTGTGTTAGGTAGTGGGAAAGATACTGCTCTCAATGCTCTAAGACCCTGTTACAACAATATGATGCTTGGAACTCGTATATTCTTGCACTATAAGACTAAGGATCTTGAAATTACGGATGTTATTATTGTATGTGCTGGGCAGAGCTGCTGATTGCCATTGATACTATAAATGATAAGCTACTAGTCTCACCAAAGCCAGTTGGTACTTGACGGTTATTTTAAGCTGAAGCCAGTACCTCACAAACAGCATTTAAATGAGTTATCACACTGCAGTTGACGCTTGCCAACACGTGCCATTATCCCTCGGCTGTCAAGACTTGATAGTGAATAACTTGCCCACCTGCATTTACTGGAACATGGTGTCCTGCGACACTGCAGAAGCTAGGCGAAAGTCCTCGTTTAGAATAACACAGTACATCTTCTGTGGTGTGGGTCGTGAATACGGGGCAGGTCGCGGTGCAACTGTGCGCAGGATGTACTCCCGAGCCGCCGGCTCTGGAAACGAGTGCCGTGAGCCTGGATGAGCGCAATCATCTGGTGAAGACTGACCAGCGGCTTGCTGAAATCAACAAAATTCTAATTTTGTAATGAATTCTTGGGCATGGCGTACCGTTTTACCCCACGTAATGACAACTAGGACTAGGTAAATTCGCCCATACGTAAAATATTTTCCAAATTACGCCACCCTCGGTTTAACAGACATCGGACGCCACGGACAATAAATCCGCCGTTTCAGATTTATGTCTGCACTGGAAATAACTCCCAGATCTACAAGCACCATGGCAGTGGAAGGGCCAGTGGAGCTTCACAGCTCCTCTGACTCAGACTAAATTTATTCTGAGGCCCCCACTATACGATCATTGCAAAACAAACATCTATGTATTCATGTATCCACCACAAAACATACAATGAACTGTGCAAAGAGACAGCAACTAATGTAAGATCAATTTTGGCTTCCAGATCAGAGTCTGAGTCAGCCAAACTCGACTTTTATTACATTAGGAAAATCGAAATACGATGCCAAGTGAATGTTCAAGGCAGATTGTAAGCTCATTTGACTCTTGGAGGAATATGGAGAATGGAGAACAGCAATGTGTCTACCATAGATGATAGATATATTATATATATTTACATACAGATACTGCAGGATATTTGTGGTGCCTACCTTCTGTGCCCTGTCAAACAAGTGCAGCAGGATTGATCCAGTGTAGCTGCGACTGGCGCCAGGAACGGCCACCTCTGGCTGCTCCTGCAGTGCCAACAGCAGTTGCTCAACCTCTCGCGTCTGCTTCTCTAACTGCCGATTGCCATGCATTGTCGCAGCAACCGTCTCATCACTGAATAACCTGTCTCTGAGTGCCATCGCCTGCTCCATACTCATTTCAAGCAGTGTGATGTGTGCCAGCAGTTCCTGTGTAAAAACAAGAGCAGAAATGCACGAAAAAAAACGAATAAATAATAATCTAAAATAATTTAATTACATATAATTAAATGTAAATAAATATAATATAATGATAAAATACAATTTTATAGATTAAAAATCTAGATAGTTTATTCAACAGTCTACTTGTCTATAGAATATATAAAAATAGTTCTGCATGCACACTGCAATATACGGTTAAGTCACAGTTATAAATCTGCACATGTAATACATAGTGACATAATATCAGGAGTTAATAAAGACAAATTTGTCTTTATTAACTCCTGATAATATCCTGATAATATCCTGATAATATCATATATGTTAATTATAAACTATCGTAGTAATGAAGATAAATCTGCATAATCAATTGAAATAGCACCTCATATTTGAGAATATCAAGACGTGGTGCACGAGCCAACCTGATAGCTTTTTTGCCTATCTCCTGGAGCGACTTCTGAAACGTTGGAATCAGACCCTCATCTGTAAAAACAGTGACTTAAATTGACATCGAGTGATTTGCTAAATATTAAATCACTATAACGGGGAAATGGCAGGACTACAAAGATTCACATACACTTAAAAAAAAATCCAGGCTAAAACAGCAGAACTAGAGTTACAGTTCAAGTCATCTTAATACATTAAGCTTAATTCAATACCTAAACAAAGTTTAGTAAGCATTGTGAAAGTGCTGTCAATTTCATGTGTATCCGTGGAAGCATGCCTATGAAGCTTGAAGCTTATACATATTATACCCATCAAAGTGGGATATACCATATGAAAGGCAAGGAAAGGAGAAGATAGTCATTCAATTTTAGATGGATGTATGGTATCCCTTGATATCTACACAGGAAATAGACCCACCGCCTAGCTCTGATATCCTGACCAGTGCAACATGAATGACGATGGGCATCATATAAAGGGCTACCTGGCTTGGCCGTAAACCTGCCAGGAAATGAAGTACCTGCCGATTTTAAGAAGAAGGTAATTAAGGCTACTTAGGTAACTGTAATAGTTCGGACAGTATCTCCATGTTATCACACCCTAATTAATCTATGCCTTTGAGTTCGTTAAAATTACATTAAAAGTAACAAACACATTGTAATAAAATATTGTTCAAATCCATGATGTTGAGATAATACTAGAGAATAAATAGGTAGGTCAGTATTACTTTTTCTGCTTCTTTTATGTCATCGAAGAGTCGTTTCTGACGCCTTGCTGGGACAGGTTTTGCAGTCTCCCACACTTCCTGCCACAAATTACCCGGGATCTGCATCCTACTGCTAAGCTTGCCTTTTCAAAGGAATAAACAAATTAACAATATAACATTAATCAACTAGTGCAAAAAATATCAAATATTTACATACACAGTAATATATATCTAGTGACAGTCGGCGAATTAATACTTTGCTCACTTTCAATTAGAAGATCTCATGAAACGAAAATGAAGACCAGAAAAAAAATTATGCAGTTTCTGCTCACGCTGTTGATGGAAGAGAAACATTCTTCAAGTTGGTTCAAAAAACAGTAGCCGGGATAAACAGGAGCAAGTTAGCAATAAAGTCAATAACACATACGTATGTGCATCACTTTATGTACACTAATTATGACATTGATATGCCAGCTGGCTGAGCACCATAAGCTTACCAATAGAAAGAAGGAAATCTGCCACATGGCTGTCTCATTTTAACAGTAGTCAATCGATTTCCTAGTGCAGCTAATAAGTTAAGGAAGCAGTTCACTTTCATAGTTAGCACGTGCCTGGCTGACAAAAGACAAACAGCATTTCCAATTCTTTAACTGCACGTATTACCTACCCTCCTCTGTGCAGTAGTCACGTGGAGAGTACCATCGCACAAAGTCCTCTAGAACACAGCCGGGGTTGGCTGCCTTGAAAGCTTCCATGTCTGACAGCAGACAATTGCTCTGCATGCGCGCACGCAGATGAGCGCCTTCTGCTGTGGTGCCGAGACGAGCCATTACCTCCGCTTGCTCCTCTAACATGTCTTCTGTCAGTGGCGCTGGCTCCTGCACAGACCAATCATTTTTCATCCCGCGAACATCAACTGTCTTATTGAGTGTTCCCCTCGCGTCATAAATTTCTCTAGGCTTTAGTATGGTGCAAGGAATACGGGAATATGAACGTGCCTTTTAAGAATGACCATCTTTACCACTTTATTTGTACAAGGAAGAATGATATTTCCCCAAGACAAACAGTTCAGAAGGATGTGGCCGTCGATGTGAATTTCTTTAACTGAAATTTCGCGCGATCTGCAGTTGTATACCACACCTGTTACAGGCGCCTATACCTACCTGAGTGATGGGTATATACAGTGGCTCATCAGTCACACGCAGCAGCTTTAGGTCACTACAAGGTCGTAGCCTTCCTTCAGCTTCTGCTAAGATGGTGTCAGGTGAGCAACGTTCGCTTGTGGAATCTGCATTTTCTGCAAGAGCTTCCCCAGACCATGAAGTGGCCGTTGACGATATCACGTTGTTGTTGCCGCCTTCACACGGATCACATGCTGGGCCTTCATCACTGATTGACTCTGGTCCTTCGGATGGGCTCATACTGACCACTATGGGGTCCGATGGCATGTCCTCGCATTCGTAAAATTCGTCGTCATCGTCGCTCTGGCACGCCGGCGGTGACAGCCTCACCCTGCTTGAGTTGTGGCTGAGCGAGGTGGCAGTGGTGGCGCCCTCTGTGCCAGTGCTGTTGCTGCTGCCACGCAGGCTGTCTTCTGCATGCTTACGCTTCTTCTGCACACAGCAGCTCAGCATCTAGAAACAGACATACCTTCATGTAAGAGATAAGACCATACACACAGGAGAAAGTCCCGTGGCTGTCAGTCTACAGTCAAGAGAGAGAACATCCTGTGTACGAATTCTCTGACAGCACTAGTGTCAGAATCTTTTTTTATGATATGCGTAAATTATGATTGTTTTGATAGCAACACAAGAAGACACACAAACAATTAGTCACAATTGACCACACACATGACATATATGATACAGACTATAATTATGTGTCATACCTGTAGTTTCTGATGCAACAGGCTGTGTGCCATGTTGGGAGATCCAGCTTCTACACTGTAATGATGTAAGCAAATGTTCATGAAAAATTAAGCCCAGTACATGAATGTACATTCCAACACACAAGAGTAAATTCAGCTCAACCAACTTCATTTAGTTTGTTAAAACTGTTGCTAAAACTTTAAAATAATTAATCTAGCATAAAAGAAATGTACTCCTATATTATCATCATATCCGATAAACTTATTCCGAGACACACCACCATGTTACAAGTTCTGCCGTGACTGAGACTGTCACCAGAGATTGACATACAGTTTGTTTCCCTCAGTTTGTTCAACTGCTCAGTGATTACAGTTTTACCTGCTACTGTCTGCCATATATATATATATATATATATATATATATATATATATATATTAGGGCTGTAACGATACACTCGCGTATTCGGTGCACCGAATATTGTTGTTGGGCGATACGTATTCGTTATTCGCGTCATCATTATTCGAATACTGACGAATACAAATAATATAAATATAACCTAGTTGAAAATTTTTTTTTAAACTGCAATTCTACGCCGATTTGCTCGAATTCTGAATGTCGTTTGCAGGTTTCCCCGTGAAAGCACATAGACTGGTACCCATCCCTTCTCACACGTCGAGAAGGCCGGGACGTGTATCTTACTATCACGTGTAAGTTCACTCACCCCATATCGAGCGTGTGAGAAGGGACGGATACTAGGGTTGCAGCGGTATACCGGTATTGCGATATTATCGCGGTGTAAATTGTAATATTTTAGAATTATTATACCGTAACCAGCGCAATACCGCGGTTTTCTTGTTGACCTGTGATATACACGTGTACAGTGATGTCACGAAAATCTGACACAGCCATGCCGCGTTTTTCCAGCCATGTGTGCGGCAGCGGCGCCTTTGATTGAAGTACGGGGCTCGATAAATCGCGAGTGCATTTCACCAATCGTCCGCTAAAAGTTGTTCGTTAACGGACAAAAGTTTAGTTGTCCGGAGGCATAGCGGACAACACACATGCATGCACGCACGCACGCACGCACGCACGCACGCGCACACACACGCAAACACACATGCACACACACGTGGACGCACACACGCGCGCACGCACGCATGCAGACACACATACGCATTTTCATGTGAGTCTGCTAAAATACATCTGCTAAAACACCCTAGGAGCCAGGGCATGATTGCGCGCCATTCTATCGTTAACATAAAGCATTTTTGTTTATTCACACATATATATATATATATCTTTTATTCCTTGGTAGTATTTACAGCTTCAACAAGTGAGTATTCGTATTCGTGAAATATTCGTATTCGTATGCATATATCGTGATACGTATCGTATTCGTGACCTAGTGTATTCGTTACAGCCCTAATATATGAGTATTCGTATTCGTGAAATATTCGTATTCGCATGCATATATCGTGATACGTATCGTATTCGTGACCTAGTGTATTCGTTACAGCCCTAATATATATATATATATAATAGTACTACACTTACTCAGGTATTCCATAGTTATGTTCCCATCTGTATCGCAACTCTAGCACAAATTCATGCCATATTTGTGCAATGGCCCTCAATGCTACTGCAGAACTGGTGCAACTGGAGAAGTGGTGGCTGATATGACACAGACAGATGGCCAGTTTGAACGTCAGGCAGTAAGGTGGCGCCGACTTCAAAGACTTAAATATCTCCTGAAGAAAGATCACAAGACAGATGAGAAGCCTCTCTCTCGGTATCGACACATATCAAACAATAACGAGCTTTACTTTACATCTACATTGCTGACCATACACGCTAAAGTTTTTCTAAACTATTAACTTCAGCACACCAATTGTAAACATTTACAACAAAAATAGATAGATGTGTTATTTTTAAATTAGTTTAATAATAAATATTGCAACGTATGAGACATGACAGCATAACGATCACAGATTTGAGATATAGGAATGCTAGTACAATAAATGGGGTGCGGAGGTGTCATTTATGCTTTATTATGCTAATTTAAATACTATTAAGCAGGCAATAATGTTCCACACATACTTTCATTCCTTCTCTCTCATCCTTGTTTTCAATATCGTCTCGACCTGCCTCTGCTGCCTGCCTGTCCATGTATGTGGGGTCGACTGCATCCGGGAAGAGAAAATCTAGCAGCTCGTTTAACATATCTGAAACGTTATAAGTATTTTTACATGTTCCCTTGAAAAGGTTTTTAATTCATCTCCACAATGTTCAGCTGTCTTCTAGCATAAGAATCACGAGATATGAGTGAATTACATGGTATGTGTTATAATATTGAATATCTGCTAGACCAATGAGATTATACTTCTTCCTCGAGAGCAACACGAGCCTATACTGTATTTAGTATGTATGTTTCTAATTATGAAAAACACATTGGAGTACGTTCTTAACTTAAATAACATTGCGAAGCATACAGCGGTGCATTTCTACCTGGTTTCAGAGGTGCTTTCTCTACCACGCGCTTCCTAATTCCTCTCCTTGCCTGCTTCATGACATGTGTTACACTAGGCAGAGGCACCGAGATCTCGGGCTCTGTCAGCTTCTGAAGAGCTTGACCTATGTCCGACTCTGTAAACCCATCTAAAAGTCAAAGATTTAGATAGGGATGATTTTTATTATATGGTAAGGATTGGGAATCTTGCATTATGTGATATACTAAGGAATGCAAACAAGACATGAACTGGTACAGGTTCCATAAAGCAGACATGTGAAATGCAATCAGCAGAGCAGAAGGGTGGACAGTGGAAAGAAAGAAGTTGGTGATATGACAGATGTTAAGTGTGAAAATCTGACTCACTGTGTACAAACACAGTACAAATCTCATAATTTCTCCAAATAATAAAAAAATGTAAGCTAAGCTATGAATTGGTGGTCTGTTGTTCAATTATTATTTGTAAGATGCACACATACAATGCATGCGATTAGGATATATGTTTTCAGTCTTACAATTAGACAATAATGTCTCACAAGCTTGTGCCTTATATAGTACCTCTGGCTTTACCTTCAGTGTCAGACGGAATTCCTAAAAGTTCTCCTTGTGTCTCATTTCTGTGGCATATGCTTGCAAATTCTGACAAGCACTGACCTAGCAAACAGAAACTCAATTGAGACCATCCCATCACTGATCCCGTGTGCCTTACAAGATATTTGCTAAATGCCTTGTACACGAGGGTTCTGTTGAACATGAAATAGGCACCCAAATCACAGAGCTGGGGCCATGCAACCTGGGAGCCAAACCAAGGACATTTAGATATTAGTGCTGTGATGTCAGACAGAGTTATAGATTGATCGTTAGACAATTAATGTTTCCTCATATAAGTGAAAGTAATAATTCACCCCATACACCCTATTCATTTTTGCAATGATGGCATAACTGAGTACGTTGAGTTATAATGTCAAATGTTTAACTGTTAACCATGTATACAATTGGTCACAATTCTACCCAGGCAGGTAAATTCTCAATAAACCACTAATTACGGTTATGGACAAATCTCCATAGCATATTGCCTAATAACCATGATGTAATAACAAAAAACGATACTGTAACAAAATGTGGAACCTTTAGCCCTGCACACACAGAGAAAGTTAAATACTATATCGAGAAAAACAAGAACTCACTAAGAAGGCACTGTGGTTCCTTGTTCATTCTTACTCTAAGTGACCACTGGGGGGCCCTACTTGGGTCCAGGTCACTGTAAAATACGAAACCATAAACGTACATACCCGCATTATGCAAAATGAACATAACGCTTGTAATGTTGTTCAAATTACTTAAGCCATGTAATAATCTGTATTTTGCCACAGTGACTTTGTAACCAATCATGGAGTGAATGACTAACTATGCACTAACGAATTAAACACATCTATCCTTTATATTTATAGTTCTTGATTTAATGTTATTATCACAATACTTACGAAACGACCTCATTATCGGAAATCATTTCTACTGCAAGAGAGGGCCATGTTACTGCCAAATGCAATTCACTGTAACAAAGATGGTATCGTAGATATTATACAGACAGATGTAATATGGTGGTGTACAGCAACACGAAACACAACCACGTTCAAATATGAAACGCCATATATGATAAATGTATCTTGCATAACTTCACTCACACGTAGGTATATTTCCAGAAATTAGCTATAACAGTTTTTAAGCACCTAATAGGATCTTCAGACGCTCCAAATGGCAAGTCTGTGAAAGTTGGGAATCGATAATGATCTCCCCCAAGACTTGTATCAAAATCTATGCAATAAACAGAGAATGCTACACATACACACGAGTGGAAACATAACATTATGTTATAAATCATGTCGCATAGTAAAGAAACCTATTCAGTAAGCTTCATCCATGACCAGAATCGTACAGTATTTTGCCATGAGGAAAATGTCACTAGCACATAATAGTTATCACAAGTCAGGATGAAACAGACAAATTATACGGATTGAACAGCAGCCATTGTTTGTGCATTTTTATGTTTTTTTTTCATTAACTCTATAGCTAAACAAAAATGTAAATAGCAATGGACTCATCAACCCCATACCTGAATCACGATGCCACACATTATGATAAGGTACCACATAGGTAAACCTCACAGAGGCCTTCACGGTGGATGACGTACAACCCTAGAGAGGCCGAGAAAAAATGACAGAAGATATTTAAAATTATGCCCGTTTCAGAATATAAAAAATGCAAAATGAAACACCATACCAGTATCAGACATCACTCACATTAGCATATTTTGATGAGCATTTCGGTCTGGAATTGCCTGAACTAACTCAGTGTTTACGCAATCACTGCAGCTAAAAAATTAAATCTAGATAGAATCCAATTCGTCCCCCACTGAACTCACCACTTTGTCAGTGAAAAGTTTTGATAGCCCAGAGAGATGGCGACACTGCTTCGGAGTCTTTTTGAGGTGCACCATCTCAAACTCTGTACGTATACCGGGTCCTTCACAGATGCCCTGATAGAGCTTCCTCCATCGCTCATGAACTTGTACAAACATTGGCACCTGACTACCACGCCACGGGAGACAAGAATTATGGTCAACCAATCTAACATGTCTAAAGAGTTTCTCGAACTACTACATTGTAAACAAGTGTCTCTAGAACAAAACACTTACTGAAAATCGCTGATATATGCATTCACCACACAATTACAATTATTTGCGATATTGCACGTTCCAAGTTCCAAGTATATAATTACTTAATTATACTTTCATAAAATGTACTTATCACGTTTTCTAGAATAAACGTTTACTAAACAACCTTCTCTTACCAGTTTGTGTTATTAAGGGCTATGCATATTGAACTTAGCAGGATATTGCACTTGCTTTCACCAATAACAGCATCTGCAATGTCCTCAGGGTTAATTACAAGGAACTCTCGAATTCCAAACCTGTACCAGCAAAGGAAAAGGTTATATTGTGCCACAAAGCTCGTACAAGCTTCACCAAAACATTGCTTTTTTACAATGTACTTATTTGTCATAATTTTATATGTATGTGCACTGTGGAAAGAAATTATGTTTTGCTTACATCTTTTTTAACAAGTTACTAATAATATAAAATAATATAAAATCTCTGCAGATTACATTATTGTGAGGTTACATGGACTAACCTTAAAGCCTATGCAAACCCCCAAAAATACACATGTTAAACATAGTAATGTGTTGCTATGTTATTTTGTAACTATATGCATTAGTAACAATTTTTATTAAATACTTTAAACGTATTTTTAACGTAATTTTGTAAAGGAACTATGTGAAAATTGCATCTCGCGTGATGTCACACCGATAACGTAGATTTGGAAAGACATATCTCGAAACGTGAGTCAGCTCATGGTAACATTGTACAGTAGACCGTCGCTAAACTTGATTGATTGCCGTGGTAATTGACCCCATGACCTCATAAATATTAGCCTTCGAAGTCCAAGGGACTATATCAAAGATGAAAAGAGGCAAAAGTTGATCAAATAGACAGATCAACACAACGGATCCCAGCAGAAAATTTGCAATTAACTAAAGAGGAAGACAGAGAATTCCAATACAGAATGACAGAAACAAAGAAGCTAAACTTAAAGGGATCCTTTGAAGATGGCACGTGTCGAAAGCAATGATCACACTCAGTTGATCAATTATAGTATTACTCAATAGATGGGACTGCTTACACATAAACATTGTTTAGTGTTTTTATTAAAAAAATACACATACTTGGGTTCGCATGGGCTTTAAACTTCACCCTTACAACCTTTAACATGTAAACGCAATGTACCCAGAGGTACAATAATTTAAGCACGTAAAATGCTATGAATACATTTTTACCATCTGCTTAGGCAATGTGCTCTTGGAGGAAAATCATTGTCCATACTGATAAGATCTTGCATGGCAGTTGGAAGCACATCTGTAATATTATAAGAATGGCAAAGTATAAATACTAGGTGGCCTTTCTTTGTAACTAGTGTACATCACAACATTAGTACAGCCTAGTAATCTTTAAACAGTAGTATCCACAATTTCATCTTGATACAGAATGACAACACATAAGCAACAAGCCAGGAAAGAGGTATAACTATAAGGGACATCACCTTCTTGATCTTGCTTCTCTTCAGCCTTTTCTTTTTCACAGTCAGCTCCATCATTCACATTTTCATTTTCTTGCAGCAAGAAATGGTAGTTGATTTTGCACTTGAAATCAGCAAACGAGGCACTCTCCGAAATTTCATCCCAGGTTCCATTTGCAATTTCATCCTATAAAGTTAAATACAAGTGTATAGCCAAAGTTATGTGACGTCTTGGGTGTATTTAGATTTAATTGTGCAAAATTTCGTTGTTATTAAAACAATATAAAACCTGAGTAATTTGACTCTTTATCCAGCTATACAGAGGTGCGTGTGTATTTTAATTAAATCCTTTTTGTTTTGAATAATATCAAAATATGCACATTTACCATGAAAGATGAACACGAACACTAACAATTAATAGCTTACTGATGGCTAATTTGTACATAACATATGATTTTGGGCAAGTAACAAGTATTTGGACCCATCCACTTTTAGTATAGTATTTGAGGCATGAAAGTGAACAATACAACTTATGTATACTCAGGTTTGATTGAAGGAGTTGGGTAATGAAGAAATAGGATTAATAATAAATAGAATAATAAATAGAAACAGGTCAGGCGAAATGCGAGGGTCACAAGATATAGGACAGGTCTATTGTCTAAGAAACACGCACATGCTAACAGTGGCTGCAGCACGTAATTGGCCGGACCATAAAAAGGGCGTGACCACGACCCACACCAACGGCCACTGGGAACAGAGATTAATAGCGCATAACCAGCCAATAGCAGCGCTGGGCTGGCGGGACCACTTGACCGGCAAGGCAGCAGCCAATAGGCAAGGGGGGAACTTAGACAATAGAGACCGCGTCACTATAAAGAATGATGTTTGTCAAAAAGAAGGGGCTCGATCTCTCCGTTTTGCTGCCTACACGACGACTGACGTAACGTCAATAGTGCTAGTACTAGCTACCATCCAACTGATATGTAAGTTATACATTGTATCCCGCGTACCTTTCTGTATTCGTACGGGTCATTTACACGGACCCTTGTTATGTGTGTACGACGTCGGAGCAAGTAAACATGTTTGTAATCTAACCACGTATCACCAGCGTTCATTGTTTGTCATCACGACACCGTGTTACCTCCGATAATATACCTAGTCACGAACACGCGATCACGGATAACACCAGCGAGCAGTCGAGAGCTATAATATAAAGTATATATAGCTATGAGTATAAAGTAAACGTTACAGTTGTACAGGCCACTACACTATGATAGGCTTTGCTATACCTACTGGTAGTACAGTAATAAAGATACAGCTGTGTATTCGCTATATTAACATGTTATCATGGATATGCGTCGAGCTCAAGCGTAGTGGTGGTGGTGGGGGAGGGTGGGGATGGAGGGGGCTCTAATAGCAAAAGCAGTTTAGTCCTTTGTTAACAGTCAACAAATCCATGTTTAACCCTCCTATTGAGGGTTAAAAGGTTATCAGACACTTACTCTTCACACGTCAGCGGAAAGTAGATTTCATGGTCCTTTCAATAAAGTGATAAAAATGGTAGGTCAGCGCTGAAACAAAAAGGTTTTGCACTAGGTCCGTTAGACCATGTCCTCAGAAAATGTCTGATATCTGACCTTTTCCCACTGCCCTTTGACCTGTGACCTCCAATTTCGCGCTGGTGATGGGTTTCATCGCCATCACACAATACATTGAACATTAAAAGCGTAGGTCGAGCCGTTGAGATTTGTGCCGCAATTCCGTATTTCCTCCTATACCTTAAGTTAAGGGGAAAATATTCCCCCTCCATTGACACATCTTGACCTTTGACCCTTGTCCCCCAAATTCGACATCCCGAGTGCTTTTCGCGATCCCCCTCGACGTCCCGAATATCAAGACCGTACTTCGAGCACTTAAGATTTCTGCCCAACTGTTGACGGACGGACGGACGAACGAACAGACAATCATGCGATTCTACAAGCTGCATCTGACTTCGTCAGCTGAGCTAAAAGGTGGTATGCACTAGGATGCATTCGAAGCATTTCGATCATGTCATTTGATCTCTATACTGTTACATACAAAGGCCCCAAAAAATGTACCCGTTGCAAATGAGGTTTCACTGGCTGGTTGGTCAGCTTCCACTCGTGAATGACTTCTTCTAGTCTAGCAATAAACCGCTCCCAGTCTGAAGCTGTTGTGAAGTCTGTGATCTCAAAGACAGTTGTATCCTGAAATTTAATGCAACAACTTATCAATCACTGTGTCTGCAATCTACATCAGCTGTACAACTAATTTGTCTATTCGCTAATGCTATATAGGGACAGTGGTTTTCCATTTAAAAAAATTGCCTTTTCCGTTTGGGAAAATCATGAATTCCGTTCCAAAGTAAAGAAAAAATGGAAATTCTGTTTTGCCATAGAAATTGTACACACCAAAAATGCAAAATTCCGTTTACATATATTTGCATGAAAAAAAAGTATTTGGTACAACCTTTGAAACCGGAACCGGCACCGAAACACAGGGCTACCAAAAGTCGTAATTGTAAGTCATTTCGCTCTGAAACTTGTCTGAATGTAAACCATATCATTACCAATGCTATTATCGACTGTTTTTTTGTGATTTTATTGAAATTTCCATGTTGTAATATGTTCAAATTACGTTTTCCGCGTTTTTCCGTTTGAAAACATCTTTTCCGTTTCCAATGGCCGTTTCGTGTTTTCCTTTCGTTTTCCGCGATCGCAGAAAATCACTGTCCCTAGCTATATATCATCAGAAGTAGATAATCTACTAGGCTATTATCTACTTCTGATATCATATATAGCCATTTTGGAAACTAAAAATGCCTGCATTGACGTTTATCTGGAAGGCATCTCGCATCCTTGCAGATTATTATTATAAATAGACCCTCCTTCTATTGGTAAATTCAATGGCACACTTTTAAAAATATTCCAAAGCTCAACAAATGTAACTATGTTAACAACTTATGAAAGTACCTTCACCACCTGTACCTTAAAATGATGTGAGCATTAGCAGGCATGACAGAGTTATGCACAAATTGTGCACATTAGCACGCACGACAGAGTTATGCACAAATTGTGCACATTAGCACGCACGACAGAGTTATGCACAAATTGTGCACATTAGCACGCATGACAGAGTCATGCACAAATTTACTGTACATAACTTTATGTGGCAGCTAGGCGTACATGATGTGTAAACTAACGCAGTTTAAAATCAAACACTGCACGTCCTTACGTCACATACTTCGGTACCCGTGTGTTACATTGTGTTTCTAATTCCTACAACATCATCTCAATGAACAGCAGGTAGTGAGTAAGATGTGATTTATAACCCATACAGACCACAGGCATTTGGAGCGTTTCAATAAAATATAATGCTAAATAAATACGAAATCTATTTACTACCAAAGTCTTAATGTTTCTATACTCTCTTTCACCTATAATTGCCGACAATTTCCTGCAAATGCCATCCAAATGCTCATCTGCAACAAAGGCTGGCTGCCGCCATGGCTGCCACTGCACACTGGTCAACACCTAAATATATCTATAGTAATGTCTATATATTTATGTGTCAGTGTGCAGCGGCAGCCAGCGTTTGTTGCAGATGAGCATTTGGACGGCATTGCAGATGAGCATTTGGACGGCATTTGCAGGAAATTGTCGGCAATAATAGGTGAAAAAGAGTATAGAAACATTAAGACTTTGGTAGTAAATATATTTCGTATTTATTTAGCATTATATTTTATTGAAACGCTCCAATTAGTGACTGTGCCTGTGGTACAGACTGCAAATTTCATCCTAAGCCCTACATAAAACTTGGCCGGGTAAGGCACGCTAGTAATGCTGAGAGGGTCTATGTCCACCAAGGTACTGCCGGAACGTACCCTGAGTACAGTCCGGTATACCGGAACGTACCCTGGTACTATCTAATATGCCGGACCGTACCTCGCCTACTCCACTAACGAGTCTAGGGAGTCGCCTACGCCTACTCACTAACCCTGACCATATCAGATAGTTACCAGGGTATGTTCCGGTATACCGGAACCGTACTCAGTCAGGGTACGTTCCGGCAGTACCCTGGGGGACATAGACCCTATGAGCGCTAGTAATGCTGAGAGGGTCTATGTCCCCCGGGGTACTGCCGGAACGTACCCTGGGTACGGTATACCGGAACGTACCCTGGTACTATTTAATATGCCGGACCGTACCTCGTCTACTCCACTAACGAGTCTAGGGAGTCGCTTACGCCTACTCCCTAACCAGAACCCTAACCTTAACCCTAAATCCTAACCTAACCATATCAAAAAATAACCCTAATCATATCAAATCCCTGAGCCCGTTCCGGCAGTACCGGCGGTATACCGGAACGTACCCTGGTCACTATTTGATATGGTTAGGGTTAGGATTAGGGTTAGGGTTAAGTACGTGGCTCAGACCCTGGCCTATGAGCGCTAGTAATAGTATACTAATACCACTGGCAGCAAGAACTGGTTCTTGCTGCCAGTGACTATAAATAGTAATACAGTAATAGCAGGAGTAGATGAGTCTTCATCTACTCCTGGTAATAGTATATACACGCCTAGAGCTATTGGCATTTGCATAGCGTATGTCAGTTTTGTTACTTTTCGCAAATTTCAGATATATATCTTAACATTTTGTAATCATCAGATTACCAATTTAACTTGCATAGACAATCTATTAGACAAAAACAAACGCAAAACCATAATTACTTCGTTTTCATCTGAGAAAATATATACAGAGAAGTGAAACGGATTGGTTATACGTGATCACGTGCATGGTGCCATGTTCATGCGTAGAAAACACGGTCACGTGACTGCTAAACAGACTACACCGCCGAGACAAGCACTCAGCTTATGTTTTGTACTAGCCTCGTAACCTCATAAAGGATAGTCTTGAAAAGTCAAACGGACTATAACGAAGACGGAGAAACAAGTTAATCAAATTGACAGATAGCGCAAGTAACATAAAATTGATAAATGTTAAAGGAAAAGTCAATGTAATTTGCAAATGAGTGTCGCACTGTCGGTCGTGTCTCACTGTCGGTCATCGAGGTCGAGCTGCATATTTCGTACACTACAGTCTACAGTATAAGCTTACACTACAGACTCAGCTGATTTTCAACAAGCGAAACTATACTAATAGTAATAAATGTAATAATACTATAGTGACTGTGATTAGTGTAGTAATTCGACATTTCGGCTCATGCACAGTATACTGACAGTAGCTCCAAGAAACGGTATTGCTAGGGTTAGAATACCTATATTGACGTTAGTCACACACTGTGACACAGCCTGGTCGGGTTATGCACAGACCAGAGTTTAGTCTACATATTAAACGTTATTATTATCATTACTAGTACTAGTACTAGTAGTAGTAGCAGGAGCTAATAATGACAAATTTGTCATTATTAGCTCCTGGTAGTAGTATATTATGATTAAATCTTTATTGCATGTAATTCAGATACAATTTACAAATACAGACAGTCAACCTCGCTTAATTTGTCATCACTTTATTTGTAGAATGACCTAATTCGTTCAAAAACATGTGGTCACAATATTTCTCTTCTTTATTCCCTTTCATTTCCGTCGTATAGGTGTGATAGTCATCGACTAATTACTCATCGACTATTACATTTCCTAATTCGTATTCTGTAATTCGAAATTTGCAATGATTTATGATGTGTCTAGTTAAAAATCACCAAACATAATTAAGTACATTGCACAAACAAATCTTTTATTACAATGTTAAACTTTCATTCATAAATCGTTGTTTACGCGAATTATCTATCTATTTCGTGGTTTCTACGGATTAAATAGAACTCGTGAAACATACAAATTAAGTCTAAATTCTCTAATTTGTTGATTACGTAATTCGTAGAAAATGCCGTGGTCCCGCCTATCTGATACGAATTAAGTGAGGTAGACTTGACTGTATTACATGATCATGATGTACTGAAGACAGTCTTTTTCATGAGAAAAAATCGGTAAATGCAATAGTGCTGAGGCGAAAGAGTTAAAATAATAATTTTGAGTGAAACGTATAAAACAGCACTATGCAATATAAAGGAAAATATTACAAAAAAACGTCAGTCACATTCTGTACAGTAGTCAATTCGACACTCATATAATCGATACGACACACTCATCGATTTAACGCAGGTCGTCGCCTTCAGACAGGTCCCATGTAATACAAACAACAGTAAAATTTACAGCGAATTCCTGTCTTACCTAGTATATATACCTATATCCAATATATTACGTGTATATCGTCATTTTCGTAAGAACAAAAATGCTGGTCCCAAAAAGTGCCGACTTATGCGAGTTTTACTGTATGTACATAATAACTGTACTAGCAGATCTATAATAAATCAGTAAACTGCTTTATTACAGAAACACAACATTACAGAGTAGAGATAGCAATCTAGATATGCCCATGCCTGTATAAATTATAATAGTATTAATATAGTACAGTAAATCAAAATGTACAGTCAGTACAACTCTTAGCTATAACTGTTCTTATAGTAAAGTGTATATTATAATAACAAACTTGTATTGCTTTTTGTTTATTTCAGCATCACGGTATACCATGCGAGTCACACCGCTGCATGTGCACTTCCGCCATACGCTGTAGCATCGAAGCATGCATCACTGACAATGAAGCAGTTATGTGGAGAGCTGAAGCATCCATCAGAGGCTGTCATCACGCTCATCACCAAATGTGAGACATAAATTCGCGTGCAACTTGCAAATCCTGCATTATTACCCAACGTTGCAGGGTGAGGTAACTCGTGCTATTTGCAAGCAAGTCTGCTGCACGGAGGGCATTAAAATTGCAGTGTATTTCAATATCATGAGCTACCTCATCTGCAACCTTGGCTAATAGTGCAAGATTTGCAATTTGGAAGCAAGTTTGTGCATTACATTTGGTGATGACGTATGTACTATCACAGAGGCATACTGTGTATATAGTGGTTTCCATCCCGCTGTTTGGAAATCCAATGTGTGTTTTGTGAGGATTGCTATTGTGCAGTGCACCGAGCATGCAGTTGCATTCTTAGAGCGGGTTGTCTTTAAGTCCTGTTTTGTTGCCTCCGTTTGCCAGCTCGAGTTTCGTTTACACTGGAATATACTAGTTCGGAACTTATATATAGTGTATCTGGTGCTGTGGTATGGTATGTACCTTTTGCCATCTTTTAAAAACGAATACAGGAAGGAGTAGTTAGGGGACACCCCCTCGGAAGAACAAGTTTACTTGGGAAGCATACACAATGCAAGGGCAAGCCATACACTGTTGTCTATTAAAAACCCTGCTGTTTTAACCTAAACCTGACGTTGTCTTATGCCAAATAACATATAAGTACTGTATGTGCAATAATATATATCCTTATATACATTTTATAAGTTACCTGCTCTTAGTACTAGTATTAGCTCTTGGTACATAATATATATTAACCAGGCTTTTGATATATTGACGTTACAACCATATTCAATGATACAACTACATTGTTAGTAGATATTTATATCCTAAAAGTGTGCTTGCTGTACAGTATTTATTTATTTATTTAAAGATGTTACATTGGTAGAAGATATATCAACATGAGCTTGCAAGCTCCTCACCGGCAGTGCAATAAAAAAACAGTTCTTAAAAGAAAAAATTCTACTGAGGAGATATGGTACTGTAGTTAACAAACATACGCATGCAACACACAAAGAAAAAAGAAGCATGGCGGATGGAGTCAATAACAGTGACTGATATAATTGAATCGAACAAGTACAGCAATAAAATACAAAGATATGCAAAGATATGTCTGGATGCTTGAGTCTATACTGTCGGTAGAGTGCTCGATGCATTAAGTCGCAGAGCGTAATAAATTGTAATTGCGTAAGCGTGAGACTCGGAGTAACAGCTAAAAGTGATGTCTTGTCTTTAATTTATCTACAGACTACAATTTATATATATATCTATATATATATAAATTATATATACATGTATAAGGATCAGATGCAAAAGTGATACAAGTATCAGACATTATGGAGAAACGAATACAGTAGTAGCTGAGTTGAATTGATTGATTCATTTCGAAGCACAGCCCATTTATATGCATTTTTATTAAAACGCTAATTCCGCAGCGGCGATTTGGATTTCATTCCAGACCAGGCATTTCTCCATATTCGTTCGCAGCTTAGCCTGACCTAACTAAATGAATGCCTAGATTTGGTAAATTTTCAGACGCAATGTAGTAAATTGTAAAACTTTTTTTGTTCGTCCAGCTCAAACCCTGAGTAGATAATAAAACAAATTTACTAGCACTATAATCCTAATTACACATAGGTTTTATGTATATTACGTATTAGTATATATATATTGAATAAAAAACAGACCAACAGAGGCGTCAGCATCGCCTGGAAGACAATCACTTGTAGTGGATACTCGACCACGACAGCACCACATGAGAAGAATGCCGCGCAGATGAGTGGTGCTAAAGCGGACAGACAGAGAGACCGGCAAGAATGATCTGGCATTTCTTAATCAAAAGGACGAAAGGTACCAGAGCGAGTGACTATAGCAACATGCGCCTGCGAAATCTCGAACACTTAGTACCAGTCTGGCTCTTGCTAAGCTCTACTGGCTTCTTAATGTGCTTGTTGGCTCTGTGCAATTTTCCACTTTACTAGTTGCAAATTCATGAGAAGTAGATGCGATCCAGGGGAGGCGCCCAGGTTTCCTGCAATTGGGAATAGTTATAATTGCTCAGTTCTATCATGTATTCAATTGATTAAAGTTGAAATTTATTGAACAAATCTATTCTTCAAAAGTGTAACCGACTAAATGACACTTGGTCCCGATCGTCTACTTCCACGATAAGAGTATTTTTCACGCACTACTGCATATCAGATCAGAGATGAGCAATTATGGTTGGATGTGATATAGAAAGTCATAATGAAAGGCAGCAGTGGAGAAGGAGGAGGCTGGTAGTGAGATGGATCACAGGGAACGAGAAGAATGATCAATGAGAACGTGTACGCATTTTAGAGCCAGTTGAAATACTAGAAATTTGTAGCATTTCTACATAGTTACGTGCGATAGTGTTATAATTGTTAGTAACTTAACAGCAAGGGCATAGTCAAAACAAGGCTACTAAGTGTAAATAAGTTTGCATAGTCATGCTTTTGTTGTATATATTATCCATGGTAAGTTTCCAATTTTATGATTCATAATTTTATTGTAAGTAAGTATGCTATGTGATCTGTTAGTGGATGGATAATTGGCCTAATAATAGATAAATAAACATATAATAAAAATTGACTAAATTCAACCTCGCTAACTTTGCATGGAATCAAAAACGAAAGATAGGTACTGTCGCAGGCAGTAATTTCGATTGCATATGATATGATATTACTGCCCACTGATATGATATGATATGATATTACTGCCACTATATGATATTACTGCCCACTATTATTATGATATGGTGGTCTACAGACTACAGTCTACAGACTGCAACTTTGAACTTATATTTATAACTATAGACTATAGTCTATACTAATCACTAAATCAGTACAAACGTGGTGTTCTATAATAGTATAACCTTTAAATACTATTAAAGAAAATGAAACAGTTTTTAACAGCCAGCAAATATACTATTTGAGGTTTTATACGTTTTGATTTTTAACTGATGTATGCGCTACAAACGTAGCATACATGTGCGCACAAACTGCACTGC